GAGTGGCCGGAACAATGTATGTATTGTGCCATATTAAATTATATACTTGATTGATTACTAAAGTTTATCTTCTTCATACACTAAAGTCATTTGGTTGATCCTAGAAAATGTTAATATTTCATATGGTAAAATCTCTAAGAAGTGGGTACTGCATGTTTTTCTTTTTAGTGATTACATGGCTCCTGAATATGCAATGAGAGGTTACTTGACAGATAAAGTAGATATTTATAGCTTTGGAGTTGTTGCTCTAGAGATTATCAGCGGAAAGAGCAATGCTAGTTGCACGCCAACAGATGACTTCGTTCATCTTCTTGATTGGGTAAGTTACATTTTTTTTGTATCCAGGGTTTCTAGTGAGTGAAGCATTTCTCAAGAGAATTTAGGTGCATACATACTACTTTCACTCTTCAAAATCCTAAAATTTAAACAGTACTAAAAGAATTTTCATAATCAAATAATAAGATGTCAATCTTTATTTACTTATAAAAAGGAAGCTAGTATAGGAGAATTGTTTTTCTTTTATGTGTAGTCAGTAAAATCTTAATTCATACATCTTTACATGTCATTGAAGGCGTATGTTCTCCAAGAGAAAGAAAAGCTTTTAGAGTTGGTGGATCCACGACTTGGTTCAAACTACTCCCAAGACGAAGCCATGAGAATGCTAAATTTGGCTCTTTTGTGCACTAATCTATCTCCCACCCTCAAACCCTCCATGTCATCTGTAGTGAGCATGCTTGAGGGAAAAACTCCAATCCAAGCACCAATAAACAAGCACAAAGACCAATATGCAAGGTTCAAAATGCTGTCTTATGATAGCCAGACATCTGCAGCCTCTCAATCAAGTATGGAACAATGAGGCAAGTCAACAGATGGGTCATGGGTTGACTCCTTAATATGTCTTCCAAGCAAGGATAACTTTTGTTCATCTAGCAAGCTTCTCGAAGATTAAAATTTAATGATTGGAAACGTAGTTGTAGAATTTGTATTATGTTATAATAATTATATTTATTTTAAAAATATAGATTGTCTTTATTTAGGTTTAACCTATTTAAATTTTCAATAATTATACCTAGAGCTCTGTAAACCTTTAGTTATTTTGATGTTAGACTTTTAGCCTATTGAATAATACTAAGATCATTTGTCTTTTACTTCTTCTTTAGTTTCTCTCTGTTTCTCCTCTTGTTCTTCTCTTTTCTCCTTTTATGCATGATTTGTTCATCAGTTAAGAAGAAAACTTGCGTGTATTTTTCTATTCTTTAGTAAAGGAGTAAATTAGAATAGTAAAGCTTGGGGAAAAAGAATTGTGGAGTAATTATATATATAATATCAAATGGAATACCTTGAGTCATATATCAATTTCTGAATGCACGCTTAAACCTTAATTATCAAATGTGGTATTTTTGTCTAAAAAAAGCCTTTTGAAGTTTAATCAATTTTAGGGTCATAGCTCCAACTGACTAATTTGTATTAGGCATCAATCAACACTTAACTTTGCATTTGTTATCAACTAAAGTTTGTAACTAACCCCAAGTACTTAGATCAACTGGTTGGAGTTGTTCTAGCTTAATCACGGGTCTCGAGTTCGAGACGTGAAAACACAGTAGCGTAAGAGGCCAGGGTCTCCCCCATATAAGGCTGATCAAACCTGAATCTAAATTAGTTTGAGCTTGTTGAGTTCATGTGAATAAGAGCTTGCTTGAGATATCGGGGGCAAAACCAAAAAAAAAAAACTAAAGGTTGTATCTATACAATATTATAATACAAATAGAACAGTCCAATGCTTCTACTCACCAATTTATTTAGTTTAAATGATCTTTTGTTACCAATTTGTTGGTAGGAGCTCTTTCTTTTTTCTTTCCCCCCCCCCCAGGATAAAAAGATCAACATATAGTTATGATGTGCAGTAGTATGTGGATCTACGTTCAAAATGCAACAATCATATTGGTTGATCTTCAGAGGGTTCATCTAACCTAATACTACCTTCTGTTTTTAATATAAAGACTAATTGACTAATTTAAATAGATTAAAAAAATTAATTAAATTAGTTATTTGTAATAAATAGATACTATGTTTCTTAAAATATCCTTACTAATTAAGTGTATTAACTAGAACTATTATTATTACAATGACTACTTTGAGATAAAATGGATAAATATAAAAGACAAAGTGGATTGGAATATTATATTTAAAATCAAAATAAAAGTCAAACGAACTCGTATATTAAAGACCGGAGATAGTATTTATAAAGTCATTTTCGCGAATAGTGACTCTGTTCGAGCTAACCTAATATTCATGGTGGTTGATCTTCATGAGGGTTGATCTATTGTGATCTTCTTTTGACAAGGACGATAAAGACTTTGCAGAGACCATGCATTCTTTTATTTATGACTAAGACCGACACGATCAGTAATTAGTTAATGCTCCGCAGCCCCATCTGGCCTCAATTCTTTTGAGTACAATTCCATCCTTAATTCTTTTTTAATAAAAAAGGAGAGGGAAAGAAAAGTTTCATTAGTGCCATAACCTAGCCTATGTTGTTATTATTCTATGTTGATCTCCTATTCTACGTTGACAACTGTTTTTTTTTTTTTGAAGAAAATGAATTTAATTATTTATACAGAATTACATTAAATTTTAAGAAAATTCTGCCTTAATCCTAAATTTGAATGTTAATCTATAATACTGAATCAGAGCAATCATGTAGAGATTAATTTTTGAATGAGTGTTTTGTACCCCAAAAAAAAGAAGCAATAAATTAAGCTCCATACTGAGTGCCAAAATTCATGCTATTTGCAAGTGTTAATTATTTTCCTCGACATATAATTCACCTACCATGTTAGTTACTTTATAATGATGATTTAATATTATATATATATATAGTATATTTCCTCACTCTCATTCCTCCCTTAAGGCATCATTTGGATCTACTTATACCCTATTTAACATAGAATCAGAAATAAATTATAAACATGTTTTACGTAAAACGAGACAAAACATATATCATATATTTATCTCGTATTTTGTAAATCACAATAACATTTAAGTTATTCCAAACAGATCCACAAACACTTTTTATGTAAGTTACAACAAAACTCACCTCACATATTTATTTCGTATTCTGCTCACAAGTCATTACAAACAAGTTCTAGATCCTTCCTGCTCTAAGCAAAACCTTGCTGGTCTTCCAATTAATGGAATTCGCAATTTCAAGCTCCAAACCTTCCTCTGTATTCTTCTTGGGATTTCTGCTGTTAAGTTTCTTCACAGGCTTTCAATCAAAAGCTCAACTCATACCCCAACAAGAGGGTACTTTCTTTATTAGTGCTCTCTGCTTTTCATTTGAGTCTGGTGACTAATAGTTTGCTTATTTCTGAAATTAAACGATCAATTATTGAAAGACATATAAACGCTCTGCTATTTTGATATTGTTTTAATATTCGGACCCCTGCAGGAGGGAAAAAAAACCGCTTTTAACTTGTTCTGCACTTCATCACTCGTATCGATAATAAGATATGGAGAGCATGAAAAAGAAGATGAAAGTGAAGAATGATTTGACAAAAAATTGTTTGGTAGTTCAAGTTGGTTCTAGAAAAGATTGAAACTTGTGCGTCACTTTCCCCTGTTTTCACGTGTTTTTAGTTCAGATTATACAAACTTTGATATCTTTACCGTATCAGAGTTTTGATGGGCTACAAAAGATTTGATGCATTTTATGATTGGGTTACTAAATAATTATGCCTATCTTAAACAAAATTTTCCCATATAGGAAACGAATGTGCCGCTTGCTTTGGACAGGGGAAAGCTTCCGGCAGGAGATGGAGGGATATGATTTTTCTTTTCTACGTTCATGCGTGACAATTTTAAGCAAAGATTGGGAGTCAATTCTCTTGTGCCAATCAAAAGATAATATCTTTTCAAAATAACAATAAACAATAATCAGCTCATGACTTGTGGTCGTGTGTTTGGATCATATTGTATATGTGAGGATATTTTTAGTAGATAATTTATTACTCCTTTGGTCTTTAATATAGATCCAATTGTTGAGTTGGTTTTGGTCCTAAATATAAGACTCATTTTTTATATTTATTAATTTTCTCTAAATTACGCATATGGATACTCCCTCAACCATAATCAAATAGAAGAGGAAGGCGAGGTATTAAGAAAGATAATTATAATATTTTAGGAAAAATGTGTCACATTTCTTATAATTAACTAACTTACCTAATTTTTTAATATAATTAAATTAGTTAAATGAGTTTTATATTAAGAATAGTAGGAGTAGTAACTTTACAGACGACATGTGAGTTTGAAAACATGCTCTAGACTTTAATAAACCATGACCCACCTGTATCTTTATTTTTAACCGGAAAAAAAAGAGAGAATAGACAGTAACTGTCAGAAGGTAGCCCAATAATAGGATGAAAATAGTGCAAGCGACCCCGCACTTGACCCCACCCATGAAAAATATTCGCCTCTTATCCCCCAAAAAAAAAAAAAATGCACGCCACTTTCTCTAAAATACCATAAAGAGGAAGAAAGAGAACATTAAATATTCATGACAAGGAGAATGAGAAAAATTGTAAAAGTAACAAGAATTATTTAGGGCAAAAAAATCCCGAATGAGTGGGAAGAAAAAATTGAGATTTTATATTGAAAAAAATCTCAAAAAAAATTAATTTTAAAATTCAAAATTAGTCTTTATTTTAAATATTTTAATAACAATTACAACACATTTTTTTTTTAGAATGCTTATCTTCTTGATTGGGTAAATTAAAATTTTCTATGCCTTTTAGTTTCGAGCAAGTGAAGTACTGCTTCAGGAATTTAGGTGCATATTACTTTCACTCCCTTGGCAGTCTTAAAATCTAAACAGTAGTAAACGAATTTTCATAACGAAATGACATGCCAAGGTTAACTTGCATAGACAAAAAGCCAGAGTCAATATAGTTTCCTTTTCTTTTCTCATGTTTTTGGTTAAATACTGATCTATACATCTTTGCATGCCATTGAAGGCTTATGTTCTCCCAGAACAAGGAAAGCTTTTGGAATTGATGGATCCAAGTCTTGGATCAAACTACTCCCGAGATGAGGCCCTGAGAATGCTCAACCCAGCTCTCTTATGCACCAATCCATCTCCCACCCTCAGACCCTCTACGTCATCTGTGGTGGGCATGCTTGAAGGAAAAACTCCAATCCAAGCAACAATAATAAAGCAGACGGATTCAAGCCGGGAAACGCTCAAAGCCTTTGAGATGCCATCATGTGACAGCCAGACAACTATAGTTTCTCAAGAAAGCATGGAAACAAAAGGCAAGTCAATGGGTGATGGGCCATGGATTGATTCCTCAACATCTCTTTCAAGTATCTAGGCGATGATTATTCTTCGCCCGGTCGCCATCTTGGACATTAAATTATTAGAAAGCTAGTTAGAATTTAACTTTGATAAAGACGCGCACACACTATCTTCTTTTGCTACTACAACGTTTAATTTGTTTACCTCCGTTTTTGGATCCAGAAAACAGAGTTTCTTCCACACCTTGTCTGTCTATTGCTTTTAATTTTTGTTTTGCCTCCTTTGCAAGTTCCAGCCGGCGCACTTGGAGGGGAAATGAGAGGATTTTTGGTTTGGTCAAAGGAAGGAGCCGAGAAAATGACAACTTGTAATATACTATTTTGCATCCATTAGTGCTGCCTCAAGCATATAATTTACTTTAACTTTCTCTTGTTTAGGTGACCGACAAGGGATCACTTCTATGATCCATCAGTCAGCTTTTTAATATGTTAACGCGCAATATTTCCAAATTCATTATTTTCCGCCCCACTTCTGGTCCGTGTGTGTACACACGGAAAAATATGACAAATAAGGAAGTTAAAAAAAAATGATATTTTAAATTAAACACTTTAAGAGTTGAAAATGATGGAGAAAGAAATGGTGCCTGTTATGATATTTTGTAAATGTAGTTGAGTAACTAAAATGCTATAGCAAAAAATTTATTAATAAGAACCGGTAATAATAAGTATTGAATAATAAATGATAAGAAATATATTGGTAATGAAAAGTTATTTATTAACAAGTTTTGAACTGACAATAACAAGTATTGAACAACTAATGACAATAAATATACAGATAATGATAAGTTTGATAGCTTAATTTTTCAAATTTAATGCAAAAAGCTTTTAGTCATTTAACTATATTTATAAAATATCATATCACACAATATTTTCTTTATGTCATTTTCAATTCTTCAATGCTTGAATTAGGAAATGATAATTTTATATTCTTTTTCTGAAATTTTTTCAATTCTTAATTATGGATGAAGGAGTATCTATAGAGATAATTTAGAAAAAATTACTAAATATAATAAATAAATAAATCTTATATTTAGAATTAAAATGAACTTAATAATTAAGTCTTACAAGAAGAATATTTATAAAGTCATTTTGGCGAATCGCGACTCTGTCAGAGCTAACCTAATATTCACATTGGTTGATGTATGGTGATCTTATTTTGACCCCGACAATGAAGACTTCATAGGGACCACACATTCTTCGGTTTATGACTAAAACGGACACAATCAGTAAGTAGTTAATGCTCCGGGGGCCCCTGGTGGCCTTAACTTTTGGGTACAAGTACCGTGTGCCAAAATTCATGCTGCCCGGAAGAGTTAATCATTTTCCTCGACATATAATTCATCTTGCATGTTACTTACTCTATAATGACGATTTGATTTTATATATATATAGACACACACTCCTCTGGTCATGTAGGCATTTTCAATTTTACATAGAATAACTTTACGTGAAACAAGAAAAATTTTAAACTGTATTAGCCCTCTTTTAAAATATAATAATTTTTTAATTTTATCCCTATTTGATACATAAACCTTTAAAAAATAACTATCTACGTTATAACAAATTAAGGATAAAAATTTAATGAGTTGGCTTATCAATAAGATTACAAAAAAAATTTTCTCTCTACGTTACTCCCTCCGTTCTTTATTATAAGAGACATTTGATGCTTATGGCATGTTCCTATATATAAGAGACACTTAAAAGTTGTCTCTACTTTTTTGTGTTGATTTCCTATTTTACCCATATTTATTGTCTCCAACTCACACTCTCTCTCCTTCCCACTTCTCTTTCTTTTAATAATTTAATTGTTCTCTCTCATGCTCTCTCTCCTTATTAATGAGGGCATTTTTAGAAAAAAGATTATACTTTTTACACATTGATTGTTCTTAACTAATTTTAACTGTTTTTTTGATCAACGTAATTCGGTTATTCGTCTTTTATAATAAAGAACGGAGGGAGTATTGTATAACCCATTGTAGGTGAAACCTCACTCACTCTCATTCCCCGCTGTAAATCCTTCTTTCTCTAGGCAAAACCTTGCTGGTCTTCCAATTAATGGAATTCGCCGTTTCAAGCTCCAAACCTTCGTCTGTATTCTTGTTGGGATTTCTGCCGCTAAGTGTCTTCACAGGTTTTCAATCAAAAGCATAACTTAGGCCCCAACAAGAAGCTACTTTCTTTGTTACTGCTCTCTGCCTTTCATTCGAGTCTGGTCATTAATAGTTCCTGCTCATTTCCCAAACGATCAATTATTAAAAGACACATAAACGTTCTGCTATTTTGATATTCTTTTAATATTCGGACCCCTGCGGCCAAAAAAGAAAAAAAAAACTGCTTTCACTCGTATAGACAATTAGACATGGATGACATTAAAAAGAAGATAAAAATTAAGAATGACTTGACCCAAAAGGTGTTTGATAGTGCGAGTTGGCTCTGAAAAAGATTGAAACTTTTGCGTCCCTTTCCCCTGTTTTCATACTTTCGTCTCTTTACTGTATCCGGGTTTTGACGGATCACAAAAGATGTGATGCACTTTATGATTGGGTCACTAAATAATTAAGCTTATCTTAAACGAATTTTCTCATATGGGAAGTGAATGTGCCGTTTACTTTTCACGAGGGAAGGCTTCCAGAAGGAGATGGAAGGATAAGACTCTCTCTTCTCCACGCTCGTTCATGCGTGGGAATTTTAAAGGCGAATTATTACGAGGTCTTAAAAAAATAATAATTAGAAGTCGTTATTTTCTATTTAAAAACTTATCTTTACAAGTTATTTTGTTATTATTAAGATTTTTTTAATGATTATTTTTTTTATAAAGACATTATCGTAATTCTCTCAATTTTAGACAAAGATTGGGGGTCAATTCTCTTGTGCCGATCAAGAGAGATTATCTTCCGAAAATAACAGTAAACAGTCAAAAGGTGGTCCAATAATACAAGGAAAACAGTGCAGGCGCCGCCGCATTTGACCCCACACTTTTTATGAAAATGACATTTTTGGATTTGTTGTATGAAAAAATAAAAATTGTAAGCCACTTTTTCTAAAATACCCCAAAGAGAGAAAAGGAGAATGAGAAAATTTGTGAAAATAATAAGAATTGTTTCAGTGGAAAAATATTGAATGAGTGACACGACCAAAACAAATTGTTTTAACTAAGCATTATACTAGGATTAAAAAAATACTAATAATTTTTTAAGATAGTTGTAACTTGTAAATTTTTTCTTTTATCTCTCTGTGTTTTTCGCGATCACTATCGTCCGTTTTTTTTTACCAACTACTCTTCTTTTCAATGATTGATTCATTTTGAAATTATGCATAATCGCGCGCACAACTCGTTGAGCCCATTAATCAATTATGAATTTGTATAAAATTGACTATAGGAAGAAATAATAAATGATAGAGTAGTAAAATAGGAGAATATTGGTCAAAAGTTTTTAATAAAAAATTAATTGCGTAAAGATACCAAAAGACTTAAATTTTTGAGTGGGTACAACTTATTTTTATTGGGTATAGCTCGTTTTTTAGTCATGTTCAACCTGTATAAAAATATCTTCTATTTTACACGTATTTAAAGATATGTTGCATATAATTAAAAAATAGTTACATCTGGATCTCTAAATTTGTCTTCACATAATTTGTTTTCTATTGAAGGAGTTTTGACCATTTTTTTTTTGGTTGTAAAAAAGTAAATATTTTAGTATTTTATAATGTAACTGAAGTTTAAAATATCTTGAAATAAAAGGAAAAAGTAACAAGAAAGGAGGAAACAAGATTGAAAAAAGGACAAGAAAAATAAAACAAATTAAAACCCACAGGAGGTGGAGCATGGATTTGATTAGAAATGAAAAAAAGAAGGATATTTTAAGTAAATTTTATTGTAATTTAGACTGCAATATTTGTTAAATTATATGTAACCTTAGTTAACAAATAATCATTTACATATTTATTGGCTTTTTTTTTTTCACCGGCACATATTTATTGGCTTACAGCTCATTGTTCTTCTTCCAAATAATGTGAATCACCTTCCGCTAATTTTCAGATGTTCTGGGTCGATCTTTTCTTTTGATTTATTTAGACTTTGTTTCAATTAATTGAATGTGTAATTATTTTATTTAGATTAATTAAATTCTCTTTTTATAAAACAAATCACCTTCTCTTGGGTTGCGGTTGTCAGCGGTCAAATGTCTCATGCTTAGTGAAGGAAATGCACTAGAAGGAAAGAGACCAAAGCCTTCCCTCCCGGTTTCCCTTTCTTTTATTTTCTGCTAAATGATAAATTCTGAGACTGCCTCACTCTCAGTTCTCACTCTAATTTTGATCTGTTCCTTGTTTCTTCATTCTGGACTTCCTCTTACTCAAAACCAATCTTGCTGATATTCTAATTAATGGAGTTTGCCATGTCAAGCTCCAAACCTCCCTCTGTTTTCTTCTTTGGATTTCTGCTTCTCAGTTTCTTCACAGATTTTCCATCGAATGCTCAACTCATACCCCAACAGGAAGGTACTTTCTTCCACTACTGGGCCCTGCTTTTCATTTTAGTTTTTGTCATCCATTTCCTTTCTCTTTTTCAGTTCTATTATGTTGCCTTATGTGGAGTTCTTTCTGATCTGCAAAACGTTTCATTATTAGAAGGCACATAAACACTGCAATTTTTAATTTTAATTTGGTATTCGGACCCCTGCAGAAGGAAAAAGGAACTGCTTTTATCCTTTTCTGCGCTTCATCACTCAAATAATAATTGGATATAGATAGCATTAAAAAGAAGATAAAAATTAAGAATGATTGTGCAGGTTGGTTCCAAAAAAGATTAACTTTTGCATCACTTTCCCCTGTTTTCAAATGTACTTTTACTTCAGGTTATACAAATTTTCATCTCTTTGCCGTATCTGGGTTTTGATAGGTTTTTCTTTCCAGTCATTCACCCAATCCATTGAAACTTCCAATTAATGTTTTTACCCAAAAGGGTTGAAGGTTCTGATCATAATCATAACTTCTGAAGTTATTTCTGCACTCTTTT